CCCTTACACACTCTAAAAATACTCAAAAAAATATCCTTGGGTGAGGATTGACAAAAAAGAAAAGAAATCTAGGCAGAGTCAACAGTTAAATGTTTCTCAGAGAGGAGCCCTGGATTCCAAGAGGCTGTAAAATTCAACTCTGGGGAGGGGAGCGTGTGGACCAGGCTCCGTTGCTGCTGTGTGCTGCCTCCTCCAGGCTCCCTGTGTAATATTGTATGTTCCCCTGTAAAGAGGGTGCCTAAGGAAACAAGCATTATCAACAAAGAGAACAAGGGAAATGTCTGTGTTTTGTATGCGGACAAGATGCCCCAGGATAATGAAAGGAAAGCTCAGGAAGTTCCTACTTCCACGAGGAAATCTTCCTGTGAATTTACTTTCCCCAAGGCTGACACTGATTTTTTCTGTCAACTCTACCATTTTCCTTCCTAGGACGACATGACTGCCTTTTACAACACTCCCCCGCTGGGACAAAGAGGGACCTGCAGCTACCTGACAAAGGTAGTGATGAACCTGCTGCTGGCGGGAGAGGTCAGGCCAAGCACTGACGACCCATGTCTGGTGAGCTAGTGAGGGAGGTGGCGGAGGCTCTGTGGACACGCGCTTCCTAGAAGTGGGTTAAGTTTTGTGCTGGAGCTGAATGAAGGTGGCCACTAATGAGTGCACAGATCCCGTGGGGGGGGCGCAGTTGCCTGCCTTTGACAGCTGTTGGCCCTCTTGCCTGCCATCACCCATCTAACGGTAGGAAACGCTCTCAGTCAAGTGCAAGAAGTTCTCGGGGTCATGCCACCTACAGCCACAGTCTTTACTGAGCGCTAGAAGTAGTTTACAGATTGGAAGTTCACCGCTGCATGTTTTGTGATCAAATAGCTCATCAAAATTGGCCATTGCTTCCCCACTCACTGCCATCGCAGTGCATCTGTGCACTGGGAACGCACAGCTGCTGCTGGAACCAGAACTGTTGTGTGGCGTTGTCATGCTCAACGACATTCAAATGCACCAGCGAAGCAAAACAAGCCTCTGACGTTCCTATTTTCAGAAACCGTGTTATTGGTAAAATTTTAGTATACAGAGCTACTGTACAAGTTTACCTTGTAAATGTGACGATGGTTTTGTGTTTGTCCTAAATAGGGGTTGGACTAAAATACATAAATCTGATAAAATATTTGTAATTTTTGTATTACAAATACTGATAATACCTGATCAAACATTTTCTTTGAGTTCTACTAAAAAGAGGATGTGTGTAAGATTATTTAGGAGTGTGAATGGTTAACCTACTTTGTATTAGTAAAAACAGAATTAAATGTTACTAAATTTTATTTCTGAATTAATGATATTCAGAACACATTCTTTGTTCTCATGTTCACAATACTGAGTTTGTTACCCAGAATATTTTTGTTTAATGATCTGGAGATGGGATGGAAGAGAATCTATGGTACATTACACATATTTTGCTAGTAAATTTCCTTAAGCAAACTTTAATAAAAACAGAAAGTAGATTAAACATTTAAATGTTATGAGTTTGTTTCCTTACTGAATGTTGCGGGGCAGCCATTAGTTTGAGTCCTGGCCCCGAGGACAGATTTTCCTGACCAGCCTTATAAGGGAATTTCACCTGAGAAGTCAGACTGGTCACATTAAACATGCAGCCTGTTGAAGGGTCTTGAAAGGATAAGAAATGGAGGACAAGTGGCTCCAGTAACAGTCAAATTGACATCAAATACATGGATGTGGGAGCAAACGGGAGAGCCTGGGGCCCGGCAGTGCTCACTGTTACCTTGGGCGCTGCTGAGGCCCAGCCTGGGTGTCACGTGTGCTGGTTGGCAGAACGAGCGGGGGGGTGGAATCTGACCCTGTCGATAGAACATCAGAAGGAGGGTGTGTGACAGAGAAGAGAATTACTTATAGAAAGATGAGGCCAGTTTATAAAACAAGCAAGAAAGAAATGTAAACATGAAGCCTGTGGGGAGAGAATTGAGGACTGACTGCATAGCTGGGGACTGGAAATAAAGGAACACGCTTGAAACGGTTAATATCTGCTGAGATCTGGAGGAAAGGGAACTGTGTTGAATTTTTAAGAATTTTTTAATAAGTGAGTAGCTGAGCAGAGTTGTCAGAAATCAGTCATCCTTGGCAAGTGTCTGATCCTCAGCGCAACTCAGCTTCCTGCTTAAATGATCCACACTCAGAATTTGGAAGTTCCTGCCTCCTGGAGGGGTTTGGACCTGGGCCACATGGGTCAACACTGTGTTGTGATGAAATTAAAATGCATTGTTTGGAAAGCTGATGTTCACCTCTATAGAAACCAGTGTCTGTTTTCTAACTAGAAAAGCAGAAAATAAGAATTAGAACACAGGACTCGTGAATTTTAGACGTCCTGCTTGCCTGCAGACCCAGCGTGTTTTCCCCGCTGTGCTGGAGATGGACTGGAGGGGTCAGCGTGTCCATCCAGGTGTGATGAGGCACTGCCTGGTTCATGGCCTCCCTTGTCCTCTGTCACTGCAGCCGCTCCACTGTGCATTCACTGTACGTCAGCGTCTGCTGGCAACTCCTGACTGTCAGGCTCACCTGCATTTCCAGAGCATCTTTTCTAAAAACGTGGTGTTTTCCAGATTTCCTTCCATTTTAATAAGTCTGAAAAGGTAATGTTTCAATTTTTAAAAAATCACAGTGTAGCAGTGCCTACGGCCCCCACGGAGCACTTACGGAACCCGAGTAAGCACAGCTTTTCCCCAGGCTCTGAGTGTAGGTCAGGCCTGGAAGGATTAGACAAACACCAGCAGCAGTGTTCAAGCCCAGGAGGCAAAACTGCCGCGTGAAGAGCTCTGGAAGGCAGCAGGAGGACTGTGCCGGCCTCCTAGAAGCTGGGCAAGGTGAGGACAGGTCAGCAGATAAAAGGATGAAAAACAGGCGTGCTTAGAGGGAGACAGATGAGTGAGTCAGCGTCCAGGGGAAAAAGACAGGAAATGTCCTTCAGGGTGCGAGTTCCTTCCCCACTGCGCGTCCCACCACCCACACTAGTCCCCAGCATGTCAGCAGCCCAAAGGGGCTCTGCGTGACTCAGGAGCAGGCACCCTTCTGGGCACACCAGCCCTGTGGGCACAAGATTTAGCACCTTCATGCCAAGATGGGCATTTCTCTGAGTCGGTTCGCACTGGGAGACATGGCTGGGGAGCCAGTGCTAACTGGATCTGAGCCCCCCGTGGGTGCCCTCTGAGCCTGGCTCCTTTGTGCACAGACCAGGGGACTCTCAGCTGTGTTCCAAGGAAGGGACAGCTGTCAGGGGTGGGCACCTCCATCTTTCACCTGAGAGGGAGGGAGGCAGATGGGGAGTGAGGGTAACCACGACCCCCCCTAGCTACTTATCTCCAGTGATAGCTGGTCTGAGCTGGTACCGGACGTGTGTCTTGTTGCCTGAGAAGGGGCTATGGGCATAGTGACTGGATTTGGTAATTACCCTTTTCCACCTTAATTTTTTTAAGATATATTTTTATTGATTTTAGAGAGAGAGGAAGGGAGAGGGAGAGAGAGAGAAACATCAATGATAAGAGAGAAACATCAGTCGGCCACGTCCTGCACACTCCCTACTGGGGATCGAGACTGACCGAGAACCGAACCGGCAACCTTCTGGGGCATGGTCAACGCTTAGCCACTGAGCCACACTGGCCAGGCTCCCTGTGATTTTGTTAATGCTGCCACGCTTGAACTGAGCCAGCCTAAGCAAGGGCACATCCTGCTTCCAAGGACAGTGCGTTAGGGTATGAGGTGGTTCCTCAAACAGGGTCAGCTTCGGCTCTTACCGCCTAGGAGGGAGGGACTCTCGGGAAACAGCGAGGAGAGAGCAGGAGCTCAGCGTGGGAGGAGGGTCCGAAGACCACCCCCTGGGCCGGGCACCCACAGAGGTCCCGTCTGAAAACATGCTCTTTAGAAGTGGAACATCCTCCGCAGCGAATGCTCTGGGAGAAGTGACAGGAGTCGTGAAAGAAGAAACCGGAGACAAAGTAAGACAACACAGTGAGGAGGGAAAGCAGAGCCGAGGAAACGAGCTTCATAAACAGGAACGGCAAAGGGCCAGGCACGGCTGAGAGCCGCGCTGCTGGCCGGGGAGCCCGAGGCGACTCAGACGCTGAGCACTGGCTGTGAGTCAGACCCTGCTCCAGCCGATGGTAGGGAGACAAACTCCCTCTCCTCGGAGCCTGTGCGCTCGGTGGGCTGGAAGGTGGGTGGTGTGCGGTCATAAATGCTGTGGGGGGAATTAAAACAGGAGGGAGGCCAGAGTGACAAAGGCCATTCCTTTTACTGTGGTTGTGGGAAGGCCTCTGATACAGTGACATGGATCAGAAGAGACCCGACCACAGTGAGTCAGATGGAAGCGACCAGACAGGGTGGACAGGTTGACCCAACGTGGAGAAAACTGGCACCCACAGGTAGAGACAGCTACGACTGACAGGAAAAGTCAAGGACATGGTGACATCTTCCCTAAGCAAGAACTAACTCTTCAGATAATGAGAATACACTGTGTTCCTGAAAAACGTGAGCAACCCTGAAATAGCTTGGAGGAGTTGGGACAAAAACGAGTGTGTACGTGTGAGCAATTCCATTTATTCCAGCAGTTTAATCAGCATAAATATCAAGATACATAAAGCAAGTGCCTGCAAATGCAAAGACAGAACATAAACAGCAACGTACCTGGGACCAGTAAGCTGCAAACATAAACATGAGAGCATGGGGTTAATATAGTCACCCACCCAGAGACACTCAGCTCCATGCCCAAACCGGCCAGGAGACGTCCAGTTCCCACAGCCCACGCCCACCTCACAGCAGCCCTGGCTCCGGGCGGTGGGAGGCGGCTTCTGCACAGCACCGGGGCCCACCGGGGCAGCCTCCCTAGGTGACAGCGGACGCTCTGCTCCGAGAGGAGTGCGTTACTCTGCCCTGGCTCAGTCACCCCCCTTCCTTGCGAAAAGACCACCTAGCACATCCATGGGACAGCACAGGCAGGCCGCAGCCCCGCTGCTGAAAGTGGGCCGGGGCGGACTGCATGAGGCCCGGCGTGCCCCGTGAGCCTCGGGAGTGGGAGGAGGCACTCACCGCCCCAGCCGCGCCCCCGCACGTGCCCACCCTGCCGAACTTCTGTGTGTGGTAGAGAAATGCGAGGAGGTGGGCGCGGAAGCCTCGGGCAGCCTGCGGTGCCAGCCGTCAGAGCCTTGCGGTTTGATGGAGACATTACAAGTTAGGGGAGCACAGCTCAGGACCTGCTTTGGCAGCTCCCTCAGGTCTCCCTTCTGGTCAGCGTCACACGTGGCCCCACGTGTGACGCAGAAATGCAATGCCTGGAATCCACCTTTTCTGCAGCTTTCTTAGCCCGAAAAAATAATAGGGTCTTGATTCTCGGCTTTTGAAATCATTAATCTGCCCTCATTTGAGATTTTATTTCACATTAAGATCTTTTTCTGGTTTTACTTTTTGGTGGTTTCTTATTGACCCGTGTTGAAGGACAGGCTGTCCACTTCTTTAGTATTCATGATTCCCCGACTCCTGAGTCCATTTACTCCAACTCAGAAGCTCACCGTTGCCAACTTCTTCCTGGTAGAATATTAACTAACGTTCACCTTGAAGTTACTCTCACTCTGTCCCTAGGTGTCAGGACTCAGTCCCTTTGGGCCGCTGCAAAACTGAATGTCCGTAACTTGTCCATCTTATCCGTCAGCGCCTCCCTGTTGGCTGCCTTTCTGGGCCAGTCTAGGTCACTTGAGGTCTTCAAAACAGACGCAGGGGTGCCCTTACCTGAAACACTTCCTGCCCTTTTCTCTTCCTCCCCCTTCCACCTCCGTCCCCTTCTCCCGGACTCACCTCTGCCTGGATGCCCGGGGAAACCATGTAATTCCGTCCAGTCGCAGGATACGGGCTCCACGGCCGCCTGCGTTTATCTCACGAGGCACCTATCTGCACGTAGGTGAAGTGCACGCCTCCTGAGGCCCAGCACCCAGTAAAGGCCAAATAAATTGGGTCTCCAGTCAGTACCCACCACGGTGCTGAGCGTTGAGCAGGAGCTGAACAAGTGCGCGCTGACTGACAGAAGGGAGTGGATAATAAATGTTTAATGTGAATGGGGATTTTCCCACAGGGAGATGTAATTGTCTGGTTGTCTGAAAATGGGAAAGGAGCTCGGGGCTGTTGGGTAGTTTTATAAATGACTGTGCAGGGAGCGCTGGAGAAATTCACTAAGCCTGTACATGTTTATCTTCCTAGAAAATGAAAGGTAAGAAAATCGTAAGCTCCATGCTCATGAGCACCGCTGATGAATGGCTCTAGTCATTCAAAACAAAAAGCTGGGAACTCCAGCCTGCTTTGCAAAAATAGCTGTATAGTCACATTCTGAAGCTGGAAGCTTTTACGCAAATTAATAATACAAGCGATTTTTCAACTTCTGTGGAGCAGGGAAGTATGCAACTAGGACCCGCTGAGTCAGCGGTTAGGTGACTCACAAATGCGGGGAAAGGCAA